TCCATGGCAATATAATAGAACTTCGTTTATCTGCACTCAATTTATACAAATTAATTCGTGCTGAGATTCCAAATGTATGAACTCATAGCTGAGTTCTTATTCTCTGTAGTTTCGATAATAGTATACTCTCTACTTTTTGGAGTGAATTTCATTTCAAAAGAATGAAATATCACTCCAAGAATTTAGAGTAGAAGAACTTGACGTATTAACTTCAATATCTTGAACGTTAGTTTTTATCATAAAAATTAATAAACAGTAGTAAAGAGGAAAGAAAATCTCTATTATACGAACTACATAACAAAACAGAATTCTTTTAAATTCTCTTCTAATTATACATAAAGTAGATAAAGGAATATAACAATACGTAATGCACATATTCCTTTCTCATGTTAAATAATATATTAATTAATAGTGTGTGGCTTTTTTGCTCTTTTATTTATATATTGTATTAGTTAATAATTTTCTGTGAAAAAATAACAAATTCGCTAATAATAAAACCTTTATGTTACAAACATAATTTATTACGTACATTGATTTTTTCAGGTTTCCTGGCCAACTGAATGCCGATCTCCGGAAGCTCGCGGTGAACATGGTTCCCTTCCCACGTCTGCACTTCTTCATGCCAGGCTTTGCGCCTCTAACATCCAGGTCCATGCAGCAATATTCCGCGCTCTCCGTACCAGAACTCACACAGCAGATGTTCGATGCAAAGAACATGATGGCGGCCTGCGATCCACGCCACGGTCGATATCTCACCGTGGCGGCTGTATTTCGCGGTAGAATGTCGATGAAGGAGGTCGACGAGCAGATGCTCAGCGTGCAGAATAAAAATAGCTCGTACTTCGTCGAGTGGATACCGAACAACGTGAAGACCGCCGTGTGCGACATCCCGCCGAAGGGCCTGAAAATGTCGTCCACCTTTATCGGCAACACCACCGCTATACAGGAATTGTTCAAGAGGATCTCCGAACAGTTTACAGCGATGTTCAGAAGAAAGGCCTTCCTCCACTGGTACACCGGCGAGGGTATGGACGAGATGGAATTCACCGAGGCCGAATCCAATATGAATGATCTGGTATCTGAGTACCAACAGTACCAGGAAGCCACAGCAGAGGAGGACTTCGAGACTGAGGAGTGCGCTGATGACTTCGAAACCTGCGAGCAGGAAAACTGAAAGTTGCAGCGCAACGTCCCCTTTTACTAGATTTCTTTTCAGCTTCTCTGTCTCATCATCGTAGGAGTCGCATGATCGTATAAAGCTTGCGAGAAGCCGGTTTTTGATACTTTTATATGCAATCTTACGCTTTATAATCGCTGAGCGTAATGTAGGCGATCGACTTTTTTATGAATTGTGTGATATCGAAATATTTATGAAGAGATCAATATTCAAAAGCAAATAAAACTGCAGCGAATATTAAATTAATATGAAAAATAATTATTTAGAATGTAAAATAGCTTCTTCTATATTGATCTTGTGTTATATCTATGATACTATGTAATATTCAGCTTTACTATATATAGAGACAATCATAAGAATTTTCATGTCATTTGGACAAATGTGGCATGAATTGGAAGGTAATAAAAATCATTGAAACATCAAATTTTCATCATATTTACAACTACTATTACAATGAAATGTCAAAATGCAATGGGAAAAACTTTTTGAATTCTTTTTTTCATAATTCCTCTCAATATTGTAGCACTAAACATTTGTCCCTTACATCCTTAGATTTTTTATATTTTTAGATTTTTCTATATTATAATTTTATGTACAGAAATTTTATTCAATCCTAATAGCACATTTCTTTATTAGATCACAACACGTTCTTGAGAACGTTAGTTCATTCATCAATAAGACGGCTTAAATGATTCTCAACACATATTCATAATAAAATCATCTTCATATGTTCACTCATGTTTCAGTGAAGACAACTCGTTTTAAGAAAATTTCATCTGTAATTTTCTGAGCCATTAAACAAGTTTTGTGATTTGATAACAAAGTACATGATAAGTTATGCGATGTTATTTTGTATATATAATAATTTATTCGAAATCCAACTAATCAAATATTTTTTATTATTCTGCGTACTCAACATTTCGTCGTCTATATTCTGAAAAAAATTATATCTTATCAAAATTTTAAAAATGTTATACTGTATATTTCCTTATCGTCATTTATGGCTTTTGTATTATTTAGAGAATACAGGATAAAATGTAATCTTATACTTTTGAAGTATTACCAATAGACACCTTAATCGACATTTTATCTCTGAAAATAGTAGAAGCGGTGAGAAACTGTCGCGCAATAACACGCGTTCTCCTTTATTGTACGCAATAATAAAGAGTTTGCCCTCGGGGCACCGATGAGATAATGCGCGATCGCCAATTTTTGCCAAGGCCTTAGCTTCATCAATGTCAGTTGGCCGTCAGAGAAGGACGATAACGAGTTCGATAACGAGAATCGCGTCTAAACGCCAACGTTTACTCATCTTATTTAAGAGGCGTATTTATATCGAATTATAAACGATGTCGTTAATTGGATAAAGACGATTTTATCTATGTAACAAAGCGTAACTCGTCTAAGTTTCCTAAATATTAAAATATAGCGTGTTTATGAGAATCGACTGCGAATATTAAATTGAAAAACAGTTCAGAGTTTTGCTAATATTGTCTTTTATAAACTTCACTAAAGTAAGTACACAGATGATTAAAACATCTTCTAAAAATTCATGTATACGAACAACACATAAAACGCTGTAAAACATTCGCTAAAAAAGTAAAAATTAGAAGTACAAAGAAATTAAATTAAAAAATTCTCAAAAAATTTTGCAAGCGCGCGCGATCCTTTACGTTAGATTCTTCTATGTTTCCATTTCTTCTTCATCTATTTCGTAGTCTTCTATTAACGCGTCTTGATATTGCTGATACTCCGATACCAGGTCGTTCATGTTTGACTCCGCCTCGTTAAATTCCAATTCGTCCATGCCTTCGCCAGTGTACCAATGGAGGAAAGCCTTCCTCCTGAACATTGCCGTGAACTGTTCGGAGATCCTTTTGAACAGTTCCTGAATAGCCGTGGAATTGCCGATGAAAGTTGCAGACATCTTGAGGCCGCGTGGCGGAATATCGCACACCGCCGTTTTCACGTTGTTCGGTATCCAGTCGACGAAGTATGAGCTATTCTTATTCTGGATGTTAAGCATCTGCTCGTCTACCTCCTTCATCGACATCCTGCCGCGGAAAATAGCCGCCACGGTGAGATAACGACCGTGACGTGGGTCACAAGCTGCCATCATGTTCTTTGCGTCGAACATTTGTTGTGTGAGCTCTGGCACCGTGAGCGCTCGGTACTGTTGGCTTCCTCGGGATGTGAGGGGCGCGAAACCTGGCATGAAGAAATGAAGACGAGGAAATGGCACCATGTTCACCGCGAGTTTTCTCAAATCGGCGTTCAATTGACCTGGAAATCTATATAATAATCATTTAAAATTAATGATATATTAATAATTACATATTGAAATTATGTATTATTGATAATATGTATTAGAATTATATATATTGATTATATGTTGATATCATAATTTCTTTATTAGTATATTTTTATTATTATATTAATAATTTGTTCAAATTTAATAATGGTTAGTTTCGTATTATAGACCTTAGACAGGTTGTCACTCCAGACATGGTAGCCGAAACAAGATGATTCAAATCACCATATGTCGGAGTAGTCAGCTTCAAAGTACGGAAGCAGATATCGTAGAGTGCTTCGTTGTCAATGCAATAAGCTTGATCACAGTTCTCTACCAGTTGATGAACCGACAGGGTAGCGTTATAAGGTTCCACTACAGTATCGGAAACTTTAGGAGATGGTACCACGGAGAAGGTGCTCATAATTCTATCTGGATACTCTTCTCGTATTTTCGAGATGAGCAAAGTGCCCATTCCAGATCCGGTACCACCGCCCAAGGAGTGCGTGAGCTGAAATCCCTGCAAGCAGTCACAGTTTTCGGCTTCCTTCCTCACTACATCGAGTACCGAATCCACCAGTTCAGCACCCTCAGTGTAGTGACCCTTGGCCCAGTTGTTGCCAGCTCCCGACTGGCCAAACACAAAGTTGTCTGGTCGGAATATCTGTCCGAAGGGCCCCGATCGCACAGAGTCCATCGTGCCGGGTTCGAGATCTACCAAAATTGCACGTGGTACATATTTTGGACCAGAGGCTTCATTGTAATAAACATTGATCCGTTCCAACTGAAGATCCGAATCTCCGTGATAGGTGCCCGTAGGATCGATGCCATGCTCATCAGAAATTACCTCCCAAAACTATGAATGGTTAAGAATTAATAATTTGGTTAAGAATTAATTTTTGAGAAATGATGTATATAATAGAAAAAAGATAAAAACATGGATTATTAATCGAAGAAAATAATGATAAAAGCGTTGTACATTTATAAACTAAAAGTGCTACTTCTAATCAAAATTATTTTAAAAATTATTCTTTTAATTAAAATATAAATTACATAATTTTATATAACTTTCTCAAATATTAAAAATGTTAAACATATATAATAATACATAATTTATATTTCTTATCGAGAGATACTAACCTTGGCGCCAATTTGATTGCCGCATTGACCGGCTTGAATGTGAACAATTTCACGCATTTTGTATTAAGTATCGTAGAATTTTAAGACAAAATAATTGTATGAAATTCAATAATGATTTTCCTAATAATTGTGGTAGAAATTAGCCCTTAAAATTGATGGATGAAAAACGAGGAGATCGTGGACTTGCCTAAGATGTCATTTAAACAGAAACAGGCGACTGTTGAGTTCTCCTTGGTGACTGTACAATCACTTAGGCTATGTTCAAATTCTCATCCGAATGCTACGGTAAAACTCCGCCACTCAGGTATCATTTTATCCTTGTTTTTTTTATTGTTAAATAAGGATGACATGATACTTGGAGAGCACTCCAGTGAGAGTCTGGACGCGCCCCTATATTTTCTACTTGTTATTTCGTCATAGTATTGATTTTTTGACAATTGGTAAAGTCAATATCCTTGCTCTCGCTTTTAATAATCAAGCATGAAATATTGACATGCAAGGTTTCTCAGACGATCATCACAATTCTCTCGTCTCAATAGATATTTTATTTAAGCTAACTGAAATCACAACAAGATTTTTTTTTATAACGCAAGGGCAAAATGTAAAATCGACGTCTAACTGAACAATAAAAAAGTATAGCATTACATTCTAGAGTCCTCGTAGATCCCGGACATTAATCCTCGATTCACACGCGTATCAATCACACGCAATGTACACGCACACACCGCGACAAGTTGGAAGTACTCTTCAGCAGCACAGAAAAAAAGACGGGGATCGAATCGTGCTAGTCGATAAACTCAGGCAGGTTTTACAAAGGAAGTACATTATAATAAATGGAAAAATAAATACAATGCGTGTCTATACTGGTAATTATGATACAACGTTGCAAAGAGCTAATTATAAGACTGTCTGTTATTTCGTCCTGTCTCATTGCGACTTCCGGCACGCGGACACATCCGCTAATACGGTGGTCGTTTTCGGCTCGACGACCTCGACATTCGGCAATTCCTCCGCTTTTGGTGCGCTTAAGTTCTTCGGCTCGACGACCTCGACATTCGGCAATTCCTCCGCTTTTGGTGCGCTTAAGTTCTTCGCCTCTTCTTCTTTTGAGGGCAGCGAGGCAGCTGGCTTCTCGCCCTGCGACGTAGTCGCGCCTTCCTGCGACGCGACTTTCGAGGTAGACGAGCGACTACCCGGTCCGCCGTTCACTAAGTACCCCAACGGCAGGGACTCGGATTTGCTTGAACCTTTCCTGAAATCAATATTAAATATTAATATCAAGTTCGTTAACATACACGTGAAGGTAATGATCGTTAAATATTATTTCAACATTAAAAAGAAATAGAATCCGTTAACAATGATTTAATAATAAAATCGAGGAACTTGTTATGAAACATAAATTCGATAAAAATTGTTTACCAAAAAGTTATTTTTCTCGAAAATAAAATTCTACTTTGAATTTTGCAATATGCTAAACTTTTCGTCAGTAAAATTACTAACTTTGGTATCGTCGGACAGGACCACAGTTTGAAATCAGCTCCGAAGAGCTCACCCTCCTCGACCGTCTGCGGCAGATGGATATTGAGCGTCTCCGGCAAGAATATGGAAGTGATAGCGCCGGCGACGCTCAATGATCCCATTACGATTAGGGGTAAGACTCTAGAGTAGACTGCTAAATGAACGATATAGGGGAAGGTGAGAAGGCCGATGCCGGCGATGAAAGAAGCTATGCCCATCGCCTGAGACCTTAGTACGGTTGGCAGCAGTTCGCCGACGAAGACGTAGAAGACAGCGAAGGACGCAGCGATGCCGAATTTGCCGATCATCGCCAGACTCACTGTCACCCAGACCGCATCTGCTGCGACAAGGGCCGATCATGTATACAAAATGCATCCGTAGATGGAATTCTATAGTCGATATTCATAATCGGTTCTTACATTCAACACTGTTGAATTTTAAGACGGTATAAGCCAATCATATAACTGTATTAACATCTTAAGATATTATTTAAGATAATCTCGAAATAAGAACGGACTAAGAATTCCGACATAAGTCTTGATTTTGTTGCTTATGTATTTTATTCCTCTTTTAAAGTATTCCTCCTATCTTTCTTTTTAATAAAAATTTGAAATTTAAGTGGACATTGTGGGTTTTTGATGAGAGAAGCTATGTATGCGGTGTGCGGTAACTAATTCATAAGCAGGTCGAACGTTTATTCATAAACGTTGTGACGTCGGCAACAGTAATTGCCTCTCACACGTTGGATGTGTGTAACAATATCATGACGAATTCAATAAGGTAATGACGTTGAGGCCGCCATGACGCAAAGGCGTGCGATTCGGTTTAATACTTTTATTGAATTTTATCCCGCGAAGATAATCGAATAATGTGAAGATGAGCAACGTGGTAAATGGTCATCGTACATTTTCTCTCGTTGACATTAGGGATATATCATATCCGGCATCACATATCCGCGTATATGTAATATGTACGAAATACAACACAAAATAAATAATTAAATTTACATATAAAATATAAAATAATTTTTAAGTTGTTCAGATATGCTTATAAAATTATTTCTGTTAAAGACATTTCAGAACCAGACATAAATCAGACGAAGTAGTACCTTCGGGCACGAACATACAGGACACGCAAGCGAGCCCACCCAGCATCATGGTCACGCACAATACCCATCGCCTGCCTAATCTGTCCATTGCGTACCACGTAATGAAGTACGATGGAATCTCAACGATTCCTCCTATAAAAGATAAAAGATAAAAAGATAAATAAAATTATTATCATACGAAAATGAGCACGAGCGTGGCGTAGTAGATAGCGCACGAGACTGCTATGCCCGGGTTCGATCCCAGGCAGATTCAAAAAGTTTTTCATGTACTCGTAACTCCTCTTCGGTGGTCTGGCAAATCACCAAGAGTATTGCCAAGAAAACCTCTCAAAAACTGCCATTCGAAACCGGCGTTAAAATTATAGGGCCCGTATGCTCGGTGTACGACCTGCGTACACACCACAGGCATACGTATGAAAGGTATCGGACAACGGTGAAAGACGTTATAAAACCGAAAAATATATATATATATCATACGAAAATTATTATCGTTTAATGATTTTTGATTGTTCTGTCGTCTCTTCAATGAATTCAACTTTTATATTATTGGGAGATTTCTTTGAACAATTAGCGCACTCTGAACAGCGCCTATTCCCGCGAGCCCTTTTATTGTTACTTTTAAGTTAGGAAATCGTGATATTTAAATTTTATAAAAAAAGTTATATAATACTTTTTCATCCCAGTATATCAGAAATGTATGAGGTCGTGATGCACTTATGTTAATGAACAATTTGGGGATCGAGAGAGAAAGACTTTTACCAATGAAAAAGGCCAGATAATCAGAGACACCCAGATTGGTCGTGTTGTAAGATAGCCCGTTGTATACTACCGCGTTCGCCACCCAATCGAAAGCGAGAATAAAGAACTTTTTCCTGATGTTTGGATTTGTGATCAGGTCCATGGGTGTCGCAGATGTTGGCGTCGCCCTGTTTTCACCTTCCAAGTCGATGTCGTTGGAATTTCTGCCGTTACATGATATCCCTTTCCTCTTTAATATTTCTACCTGTAAATAACGTTGCTAATGGAGTTCATATAATCCTTATACAGGGTATCCCAAAATTCGCGAAATTCGAAATACTTATGGCAAGAAAGTTTTCGAAAAATTAAGTGAAAAAGATTATTTGTAAATTTTTATTTTAAACAATAATTTCTGAGATATAAGACTTTTTTTAAATGTGGCCAATTATATTATATATATATAATTGGCCACAATTATAATATATAGATATTTAAATGATCACCTGTGAATCTCTCTGGAGACACTGGTAGTGTCTCGGCGCTAAGCTACGCGCAGCGACACTACCATGTATTAGTAACGCGCTAAAGTGTACGCTTATCAGCTCTTACTAAATTACAGCACGAGATTTATACGGACATATGGCTAAACATAATCTGTAATTGGCTAATTCTTATTATTTTAAAAATTGCTGCTTAAAATAAAATTTTAGAAATAACTTTTTTATTTAATTTTTCGAGAATATATATTATCTTGCTAGTATTTTGAGTAGCAAATTTTATATGTGATACCTTATATATCGCTCTTACTTCAAAAGTAACAACTCAAAAATGTGATTTTCCAGTTATTTTATCATAAATGAGTAAAATAAGCATTACCTACTAATCATCAAAAGTGAACTAACTTAACTTCATAAAAAATCGTTAAAATAGTCACAACTCAAAAAGCATGGTTTTTTAAAAGTTGTGATACAAAAATGATAAAAATGACATTTTGAGAATACCTTTTTTTCAGTTATTATTTAATTAGTCAATTTTATATCAAACGAAAAAATAGTTTTACAGCTTAATTCTTTGACTTGGGTCACTTTTGAAGTAAGACCCTTGTAGAAAAGTACTACTGAGCACTAGGAGTATTTTAAGGCACTACTGTACTACAGCACTACTGTAGTATATTTTATGAATATGAATAAGATATTTTATTAGAGTGTAAAGGCTCGTATGATTGCTACGCAAATTAAACAGAGTCGTGGCTTATTTTGAGCTAATAAAAGATATTTTATTATTAAAAAAGCGGAAGAAATTGATGGTTAAATATTAAATTACCTCCATCTTTCTAAGAAAATTCGTAGGCACTGTTTTGCCGTTGACTTTTGCCATTTGTTGGACGATCGCTTCCGCCTCGTCTATTCTATTCTTACTGAGAAGCCACCGCGGCGACTCGGGGATGATCCAGTAGTAACTGAAGAGAAGAATGAAAGGCACCGATGTGGCTAACGACAGGGTATACCAGTGTCTTAACAAGTAACCCTAATAAGAAAAACGGAAGAGAACGAAAGCATGTAATCAAAACAATGACAAATCATGTTAAAATAGTTTTTGTGTTTTTCATACAAGTTTCTTGCCAAAACTTGAAATTTGAGGGATTATATTTGCTTCTATGCGGGCACGCGCGTCGATTCAGAGACATCTAAATGTAGAATGTTCCTATTATATTAGCATGCAGCGACCGAACACTCGTATTTGCATACGCTCGCACCGTATGATGCACGCTGATAGATCGCTTGCAAAATGATCCGCGTTGCACCCTCGCGTTGAATCTATTGCGAGATCCGCAAGCTGTCTCTCGCGGTAACTCGCGGGGTAATGCGAGGCTTTCGCAATATTGGCTGCGTTCAGCAGAAAAAGCAGCTTTGCAATTATTGTAAAATTCTTGAATATTGAATTGGTTTGTACATTTAGACCCAGTAAGGAACTAAGGGCGAGAGAGAGAGAGAGAGAGAGAGAGAGAGACCAATCATACTAATGAATAAAAATAAATGAATTTTGCAACAATTGCAAAGCTTTTTCTGCTGAATGCAGCTAATGCAAGTTTTAAGACTAATTTACAATGCTCTTTGCTTTCTGTCTTTTACTTTTTATCTTTTGCTTTTTTCCTCTTTGCGACTATTTTGACCGTGCTCAGCTATACATTGTCAGTATTGAAAATTCAAGTTACGTATATTATAAATTTTTAATACTGACAGAGTACATTCGAACTTCTTTTATCGACAATCGTGTTTCTTGTCTCTTTCGAAGTTCGTCAACTTTTATCTCGAGCAACAGAAAACGAAGAAATAAGACAAAAAGGTAAAAGATAAAAAGTAATAGAAAGCAAGAAACAGAAAATAAAGAAATTATAAATTAGCCTCTAAAGTATAGATGATTTTCTTCAAAACGATTGATATCCCTTCGTATTTTTTAAAGGTGCGTTACTCTCTAAAATCTTTGGAGTGAAATCTATAATTCTAAGAGTGAACACAAAGAATGACAACTGAGCCAGTGTTGAAAAAGAATGGCTTAATTTCTAAGAGCAAAATTTCACTTTTTTCAGTTAAATTATACTTTAAAAATTTTAGAGAGTACTTACCAGCAACGCCAAGAGAGACATCGCCGTGGCGAAGAACATGCAGATCACCATCCCGGCGAATGTTCGGTATCTTGGCCCCATTAGCTCAAGAGCTGCAATAAAATTTATTGTGCAAAAATATTTTGCGTTTTACACGAGTTGATCTTGATGTTTCTATTTTTAATCGTGTTTATGCAATAATGGTGACGAGAAAATGTGTTTCGATCTTTCTTTTTCATTAAATTTTTCTTCAAGTTTTCCGTTTTTTGTTATTGTCAAAAATTAAACAGCCTGCGATTTATGTGTACTAAACATACCAAGTATGAAAGGTATCTGATAAATGGCAGGAAAAAAGAGACCATTCACGGTCCTCAGCGCCGTGTAGATCACGTAGTTTGGACTGAAGCTCGTGGCGATAGAGAATATCACTTCGAGAAACAGAATGGCGAAAAAGGCCGTTCTTCTGCCCCATTTGTCAGCGATCCAACCGAACACGACGTTGCCGAAGAGACTACCCACGTAGAAGAACGTCGTCGACGTGGAAGGCCACCAGCTGTTGTCACATACCAGGTCTAGCTATGTGGATGTAGAACGCCATTAAACTACTTCGCCAGCGCCAAATTGTATATCGGCAAAAGTAATCCAATGATTAACAATAAAATAAACTAGAGAAATTATAAAATAAAAAATAATAAAGTGTTCGCGCGTGTATGCGAGATGCCAACGCATAAAGATTTATGGTTTTTGTTATTTCTTTAAAAATTATCAAAATTCTCAATACAATAAAAATCGTAATTTAATTATTCAATTATTATCACAACCAATTTGCGACGGCAGGGGTGGGTCATCACAGGTGGGGAATTTGCCGGAGGGTGAGAAAGACAGGCTAAACGAATCACACACAAAATAGTACAAAAATAAAGAACAATTATATTCGACAACTCGTTTACATGCAATCCCCGGAGCTGCGCTCCTTTCGCTTGACTCGATACACTCTACGCTCGCAAGAGATACCGACAATTTATGGGCCTTCTACAATAAGTCGCAAGTCAGAAGTTCTAAGCGATCTTAAGTCATAATCGATGAAGTTGACCAATAGCCAACTTGAACGACTTTGTTAAGACTGGTTAAGACTTCTGACATTCTGACTTGCGGCTTATTGTAGAAGGCCTATTACTCCTAGAGTCCCTCTAGTAGGAGTCAAGCCATAAGGGGTGGTGATCTCTGATTGGACACTGCCATTTGCAGTACTTTTGATGTGGTAGTGAATCTGTGAATTGATGTGAGCCAGCTGTTTCATGGTGTAGAAGGCGTGAACGCGAAATCGGACTATCCGGCTCCGGATGGTATACTTCCAGTCTTATGACTTGACTCCTACTAAAGGGACCTACTTACTCCTAACACCGGACGCCGATTATGCTCTACTACAATACGAGTTCCTACTTCCCTCCGCGGTCATCTCAGACGGTGACTGATAAACGACAACTGACTGTTCACACGATCTCCCGACAGCCGGCAAGAACCCGTACCTACAATACTACCCGCTATCCGGGCGAGTAACGCCGACGCGAAGCCGAACATTAACTCGAAAGCGCAACACGATCACAATAATCTTCCCGACACGACAGCACGAAAGCCTAAAATGACTCGACTGTGGCAAAAGAGGCGGGCGCGACTCGACAACGAATGATCCCCTAACGACTCGAATCACAAAACTCGACAACTAATAATCCCAATGCTTGGGAGGATAGCACGTGTCTCTCAATCTCACGACTCTACACGGCGGTCATTAAACCGGCCGCTTTCTGCGACGTGAGCTTTTCCACGTGCGATCCACCCGAAGCTACGAACCCGGATCGGCAGGTTTACAGCAGCGACGACGACGCTCGTCTCACCCTCGTCGTCCTGTTCCTTCCGCTCTTCGCCTCGGCAATTTCGCTCACAGCAGCTAATCGCAATCTCTCTCACAACAGCTAATCGCAATCGCTCGGCGGCGACTTCGCACTTCCCTTAGGCCGGAATCAGACTATGCATTGAAGAATGAGATTAAAGATTGAAAGATTGAAGTTTGACCAATCAGAACAAAAGAAGCCAAAATTTCTTTGTCTTTATTGATAAAATTTCAATCTTTAATGCATAGTCTGATTCCGGCCTTACACATTGGCTCAGCCACAGCAGGAGTGAGGCCCGGAAGCTCCTCGCGGATTCATGTAACGCAGGTCGTTCGGCTCCCCCCTCAGGGGTCGTCACGTCGATTGGCTCTTGCTTATCACGCTGTCTGCGGAGTGGCACCCAGTTGGACACGGCTCAATTGGACACGAGCCACTCACAGCGCTTGAGACTACAAAGCTCCTAAGCACCGGTCGCTGTGATTGATGGTGTCCAATCGAGCCGTGATCAATCGGGATCACCCCCTGTCTGCGTGTACCGCATCGGTCCTCGCGACCGCAAATCCTTGTTCTTAAGAGTGCGTAATATAATTTCCTCCCAAGGGCTGCTTTTTCGCTGAGGCCCTGGAACTTTCCGGGTTGACGGGGAATATCCTAGCAGCTCCTTTTCCAGCTCCATGTCGGGGGCCATATGTCCCCCAGACGGACGTCCGTACGATCCCAGATGGCCGGGAATTCTCACCTCCGGTCGTACTCTGCAACGGGTGCGCGATATAAGAAGGTTTTAGGGCGGCAACGGATTACAAGCAAACATTCAAAACAATACGACCTGCGTGTTCGGGCTCCCGTGTGAGCGGCTTTCCAGCATACCGTCGTCTCTTCTTTTTTCCTTCCGATGTAATCTTTCTTCCCCCGTTGGCGAGTGAGATGGCATAATTATAAAATAATCTAGCAGCTGCCGAGCGCAATCCGTGGCGATTTGAACTTTGACTGAAATTAATCACTAAAGAACAAAAATCTTAACGAAAAGAAAAAAATATTAAACAAAAATAAACAATTACGGGGGTAGCGCACGTTCGCAGGTGCGCTCGCATGCGCGCTCGCTTGTGCGCTCGCCCTCCGAGCCGGGAGGACGCACCGATAGAGTTCCTCTAGTAGGAGTTCTTCTAGTAAGAGTTAAGACATAAGATCGGAAGAATGCCATTGCTGGGTGACCGGAAACAGCACAATTCCACTATGGTTGACAGTTGATAGTCCGATTTCGCGTTCACGCCTTCTACACCATGAAATAGTTGTTCACACCAATTCACAGATTCACTACTACATCGAAAGTATCTGCAAATGGCGGCGTTTAAAGGGACTCGAAATCTGGCTAATCAGAGATTGGTACCCCTTATGACTTGACTCCTATTAGAGGGACTCTACCGCCGATGATTCTCCACAGTGACGGACAAAAATGTCACCACGTCACAATAGACATGATGGAAAACTATTGTAACCGACAAAGAATACAAATCTCGGTGTAGCGACTTTAAGGGATGAATAGTTCTAAAGAAATAATTAACTCGAAGAAACATTGTATCGATTAAATCGTTTTTTTTTTATGTGGCGTTTTTATGTGGCGTGTGTGTAAAGAGCACAATGTATGCAATTGCGGCCATCGCGATTCTGATGAATGTAATCTTCATGATCTTACGAGAACTTGACACATTTCGTAAGCTTTGCATCATGGTATAAGAATACAAGATGCTGTAATCCCAGAATGCGTGCACTTTCGGTCAAATTAATGGAAATTCTTAGATTCGCTCCAAATGTGAGAATAAATTCAATGCGACGATTTTTTTTAATATAGATAAAGCTTCAGATGTGCAAATACAACACATTGAAAAATAATAAAAGAATTTAGTATTTGTAAAATTTCATCAAGCTAAAACTTTAAAGGTTCTCGATTAATTTCAAGTTAAAAGATCAATTTCGAGTTAAAAGAATGATTAAGTTACGATTAAAAAGATCGACTAGAAACTCATTATCATAAATAAGCCTAAGAAATTGACTAATCAATTGATTGACTAATCAATAAGTAATTGACTAGTCGAATATTCTTCTCACAATCGATTGTGATTAATCAATTTGCACTCTTGAATAAGAGTGGTAGATTTTCACTCTTTTTTGGAGTGAAATTGAAGTAAAATTTCTTTTCTTTGGAATAAATTTCACTCCAAAATCTGCCACTTTTATTTAATCCTCAGTACACACAACTCTAGTAGTCCGTATCTACTCACATCCGGGTATTTGTAACCCAGCGTTTTCTTTTGCTTGTATCTCAAATTGAGGTGATCGATTTTAACAAATTTTTTTCAAAAAAAAAAAAGAATTTTTGAGTTAGAAAGTCTAAAATATCGTAGCACAAAAGATATTTTGCAATAAGTGAAAAGGGATCGGAAGAAAACGTGAACTATGAAAATTGGGTGGGGTTACACTAACCCCATTGTGTGTACTAAGGGTTAAGAGTGCAAATTTTTTTATTCTTTTTCAATAATAGCAGTATTTTAACTCTTTTAGAGTGAGATTTCACTCCAAGAAATTTAGAGAGTAAGACTTAAATCTTAGATGATATAGCTTATTATTGTAGAAAGCTCATTATAGAAAATGTATGTGGCAACCCTAAACACTTGAGACCGGATTTGCAATAAATGTTATAAGTTTTACTTTTCTGTGAGAGTCGAAAAACGGAATCTCGAAAGTCAATCAGAATCATTTAAGTTTAGCACGTTATACAAACGAATGATTCTGATTGATCATATGACTTTTCTGAGATTCCGATTAAGGAAGCACCCTTAACTACAAAAAATGGAGAAATCATAGTCGATTACTTTCCTTGCATTCGACTGTAATTGATCAATTTTTACGACTTAAAGGCCATGGCACATAAAAAAATTTAAGACGTAAGACGGGGTGATCCCGATTGATCACGGCTCGATTGGACACCATTAATCACAGCGACCAGGTGCCTAGGAGCTTTGTAGTCTCAAGCGCTGTGAGTGGCTCGTGTCCAATTGAGCCGTGTCCAACTGGGTGCCACCCCGTAAGACTTAAGCATTAAGCAATAGCAGTAAGCAATAGCGAATCCAACATATTGATTTCCTTATTGTTTAAGTCTTACCCCGGATCTACAATAGATTTTTAAACCTTAAGCCTTAAGCCGTAAGGAATGGACAATCACTTTCTTACAGCTTAAGGCTTAAATCACCTATTGTAGATCCGGACTTACGTCTTAAGTTTTTTGTATGTGCCAAGGCCTTAAGGTTTGAAACACTAATGCCCGTATTCATAGTTAAACCTTGTACTTAAGGCTTCCTTAAATTGATCTTTAGATGCTCAGTGACCAATGAAATAATTCATAGAGCATCTGAAGATAAATTTAAGGAAGCCTTACCTCGGATCTACAATGACCAACTACAGTCGAATGCGAAGAGAATAATTGATTGTGATTCGTCCATTCCTTACGGCTTAAGACTTAAAACACCTATTGTAGATCCGGACTTAAATATAAGGCCTGGCTATGAATACGGGCACTATTGTAGATCCGGGCTAAAGCATCCTGTGTATTCGCTGTATGTACGCCGACATTAGTAGCGAATCGGAGTCGGAGTGCGTGGTCGCACACGTGTAAAACACACGCGTCACTCGGCCGATCGTCATTTGTTCGTCGGTCCAGCATCGGTACTCACGCACGCGGGAACACGCGCGACGAAGAATAGAATCGGTGGAGGGAAGTTGTGGGAGAAGGAGGGATGCCGCTGGACCACCAGAGGCACGGTAGAGAGGGCGTTTCATCTCGTTGCGTTTACGCAGGAGACTACCGACGTAAACGCGCTCGTGTTTATCACAAGTGGGGGGGGCATGTACGTGTGCGATCTTTTAGTATGGAAATCGCATAGGCTTGTAGCTCATACACGATAGAACGTACGTATGCATGCATGTATTTGTACGCGCGCGTCCGAAGGACGTTAAGGTGTATTGGTGAGCTTCCCACAGTGAGAGGTGTCCATCACCCTCGTTTGACAAGAGGAACATGATCCCCCCTCGCGCCCTTTAAAGTCCAGTCTCTCTCTCTCGAACTCTTTCATTCTTCTCTGTCACGATCTCGCGTGGCAAATCAGACACGAACGACTCAGGCTCGGTTCCACAAATGTAAAAATACATACTGTACTAAAAGACACGCTAATGATAATTACTTATTTCAAATATTTCAAAATTCATATATCCGCAAATCTATCATAAGTTCATCATCATCATACAGCATCAAATTTATTTAAAATATATTCTGAAGCCTAATAAGTTTAATACTTCAATCAAGATATTAAATTCGATTTGCTTATTATATAAAGTAGTTTTTTCGATCAATTTTATAAAAAAATATTCTACAAAGTAGTTTTTAAGTAATAGTTTTTAAACAATGGTAAAAAATATTCTTAAAAAAAAAATAAATTTTTGCTTTGAGTGCATAATATTTTTTTAAAATTTGTATTAAGTATATTTTAAGATTATTATCAACAAAGTATTCTTTAACAAAGAAAAAAATATTTTGTTGACAATAATCTTAAAGTATACTTATTACAAATTTTAAATAAACATTATGTACTCAAAGCAAGAATTTATTTTTTTTAAAGAATATTTTTCACCATTATATAAAAACTATTACTTAAAAGAAAGAACGTAAATTAAGTAATCACTGTTCTTAAATCGAATAATGTTCTTCTGTCTGTAAGATTAACTTTAATCGCGATTTAACTTGCTCATCTTTTTTTCTAATTGAAAAAGAATAACGAATAAATTGAATCAAGATTAAAGTTAATCTTACATTGATGAAATCAAACCCTTAACGTACCTACGTTTGACCTCTCTATTCACCCTATGTAGATGTAAACGGTGACAGTGAATGTATACTTATGTAATTGGATGTAATAATACTGTAATTAAAGAATTGAAATTCGAATTATAATTAAAATTATGCGCACAGATATATTTCAAAAATTCATTTCTCTCTAAAATATAATAAAATGCTTACGATTTTTAGTCCATTTTGCAAAAATGGGTCTTATCGGTATTCATATTCGTGCGACATCGCAAAATAATGTTGGGCAAATAAAAAAATTGTGCATCTTCTTTTAGAGATCTTTCTCCAATAAGTATAATGAAAATGCGATTGCATCTAACAAGACTTTTAAGAAATACATTCTTAAAGACATTGACTTCTTATACTTGGAACTGTATGAGTTTAAGAATTTGCATTAATTCGAAGATGATTAATTCCATTAGTAGCAAGCAATGTCAGGGAGTGCTGTTCCGAGTTAATAAGCGTGTTCGAAATCTCAATCGAGTACCTATTAGCCTCGACAAATAAAGTCTACCGGTGGGTGTTAATAGTTTTGACACGAAGTTTGATTTAAGCAAATTGCCACTCACGGACTTTCGAGGTCTGCGCGAAACGCGCAAAAGATAAATTGCGCGGAAAGACAGGAGAGTGTGCTCGCTGATGATGATGTTGTCGAGTTATTGTCAAGGGCAGTGCACGCGCCCATAAGGACGTTAATAACACGTGTGTTTTGTCACCCTGACACACTTCGAAATCAATATTAATATGACCGCAGTACTGTTCATTACTGCGATTGTTTGCACTGCTCGTTACACCGATTCGACATCGAAATTAATTAAATCCCACATCGCATTACGATGACAACGTTCCCTTACTTCAAAAGTATTTTTTGTCATTTTTGTAAATAGCAAAATCAAGTTTTATTTTTGATAATAATAAAAAAGAATAAAAAGGAAAGAGTAAAAAAGAATAACAAAGAGAGTCTTCTATAAAATATTTAGAATTAAGTTAAAACAGTTTGATAATCAAAGTTTGAAGAAGAAATTAGGTATAAACTGTTGGTAATATTTCGAGTTGTCACTTTTGATGAATTACTCCGGATTTTTTTCTGGATAATTTATTATAATTTTGTAGGATATATATCAAGCAGATATTTTTATAATAATTTCTAACAATATATTTTTCCGATATTTTAATTAGCTAATTATTTTCTGTGTTATTAAAAATAGTTCTTTTCCTTTTCTGAAAAATATAATTTTTCTAGTTTTTATTTTTGAAATAAGGGAACGACAATACTAATGAAACAAGGCATCGAAGGAAATCGTGAAATGTTAGGAGAAGAAGAAATCCAACGAAACGATACTAAAACTTTGCGTTAGTCTTCCTCAGAATTAATGGTTAATCAGGTTCAATGTTAATTGAACAATTCGTAACTTCTGGCCTATTTTTTTGAATTAACATCGAAATTTGACACGACTTAAAAATTTCTATTCGTCATACGATATTCATTTAGGACTGTGCCAGTTTTATCTATTCGCTTAGGTACGCGTATTTACACGCTCCGGATTTACGCAGACACATGACGCAAAGAGCCATCGAGGCAAATCCTGTCCTTCCGTTTTCCGTTCTTAATCGCTATCACTTTCTACCATATGGAGCCGTACGCTAACGCGCTTCAGTCACCCCTTTTATCGTTTATACATCGCTCGTTTCGTCACAAAAATGTCACGCTGCGCCTGTCGCAACGCGAATTAAAACATACTGCTGATACACATTGTATAGATTTTTCCACAAAGCGGCTAGTCAAGCAAATTCGTTGCGATATTTTTAATTAAAATTGCTATCATTTAAGTTATTCTCACTATTGATTTAAGATACATGCTTTACGACCTTCATGTCCTCCAGATAATGAATACAAAAAGAAGACTCGGAGTTTTTATTTAGTTTCATTTGAATATCAATCTAAAGTCAACGATTTTCAAGCGTTCATACATATTCATATATTCATTAAGCTGCTTGTTGATCCGCGTGATGTTCAGAATGATGATATCCCAAGGAGCCTACGAACAACAAGGAACCGATGGAACAAGCAAGAAGTAATCACTTTACGAAATATATTTATGCTGTGTAGCTGCATAATGCAATAACAAGTCAACTAAAGCTGCTTTCCAAGATTTATAAGAGAATGCAATTATGGAATGTTTGCAAAAGTTTGTGGAGTTATCGTTAGATGTTATTAAAATTTATTGTCAAATTTTTTAGTCATATATTATTATAATGTTGCTTTGAATTATACTAATTATATTCCTTGGCTATCAAATTTAATATTTAACAGACGTTAATTAAATTCAATACTATTATAACAAGCTGTCTTAAGCCACTGAAACTATTTATGACGTACAATCTTTTAAAAACAGCAGATGACATGAGTAAACACGTCTAATCCTCATGGTTTTAGTGCCACACTTGCCTTCTAATTATAAATAAATAACAAACAGTGGCGAATATATACGTTATGAGGCTTCAAAATCAAAATTAAATTCATGATAGCTAAGTAATAGGTATGATGCAGGAAGTTATATCAAATTGTAGCATAATAATATATATAACTAAAAAATTTTACAATAAATTTTAATATTGATAGACTCCACGAACTTTAAATATTTAATAGTTATAAAACTTATTTTGTATATTAACAATAATTTTAATTTCCATGACTTTCTCGCCTGAATCTTGAATGGTTGCGTCAAGTAATAATTTAATTGCAATCATATGAGTGTTGCACATTATTCGATACATATATCGGACTTTAGGTATAGATTATGCATTTTAAGAAGTATACAAAAAATAAATATAAATTATCTCTTCATGCGAGAGACAAATTAGATTCGGCAGGAAGTAGAGGATGTACAGTGTATTCGTCTTCAGCACAGCTGTTTGTCACATGTCAATACGGAAAAGACAATGACCTGTTCCATGGTCTCGCTCAACATGATATCATTAGAGCGAAGCTCCTAAATCGAGCAATAAATCATCGGATCGGTCGGAAGTAAAGTGAAGTATGAGCGCGACTGCCCACGCTCTTTTCCACTCGTCTCTTCCTCGTCAACGTGCGTCCGCGAAAAAAAATACTTCTAGGTCGACCAAGCGTTCCAAAAGAATAATTCCATTGTTTCGTAACAAAACATCTAGTATTAATTAAGCAAGTTATGTAATTTACATGTAAAATATATTTCAATACAAATTAATACTCGAGAAGAGTAAAATGCACAAGTATCATTGTTTGTAGATGTATTGTGTCATCTCAGCTATGAAATTGAAAATTGCGTTACAGAAATGTTTCGGAGACACGTCGTTAGGCGATCGATAAACAAAGTTTACGTAAGAACGCGAGAGATGCGGAAATGAGCACCTTGCGCGAAGACATGAAGAGAAAGAGGGACGGCAAGAAAAAGAGAAACGGAAGTTGGTCGCGTTGAATCCGGCAGCAACTAAGTACGTAGGAATATATACCCTCTGCATGAAGAGAGCTGGCAGTTTGTGCGAGGCGTTTGATGTGACATATCACATGACCGGATGCGGGGGTAGGTAAATTGGTCGGCAATTGCTGACGCCACCAGAGCTGCAACCTATCGGCCAGTCACTCGGTCGCTCATCAACCTTGTTCACCTGTTGACGATTCTTGTTACTGGAATTCTCGCCTATCTCGACCGAAATCTTAGAAATCGTCCGCATCAACGTAAAATGCGCTACGTCACCTCTCGCAATTTCAGGGAACGCATGATGAATCGTTCATCGTGACGTTGATGAATCGACCTATCATTACAGTCATTCTGTCCAAGATTATATAAATTTTTAACGCTGCCTGAGTGTAATTAATTCATACGACAATTCGTTATGCAATAATTTCGAAAAAAAAATCAGAGACTACAAGAGGTACATTAATTCCAGTAATAATTTAATTTGCTAACTCGATAATGGTGTAGCGAAACGTGACATGCATACAAATCAACGAGATTTATTTCCCACGTTTATCGCATTAAATTAAATCCCCGTGCAAAAGGGAGCTAAATTCGGCTGTTGTATTTCACGTCAGTTAAATAAATTTTGCGGATGATTAATTGAAAGAACGGAAATGTAATGGCTGTAATTCATGCGGCCGTAGATTGCACCGAATAAAAACGTGCAAATATGGAGGAGGGTGGATAGAACGAACAAATATACAATGAACGTAAACGCGATACCGTGTGAAGCACTGATAGGTCTAACGTCGCGCTATCAGATATTTTAAGAAATGCACGAGTAACATGTCATAATTTTGATTTATCAGATGTAACTGTTATAAACGAATCGTAGAAAATATTCATGACTAGATATGCAAAATAAATATTCGCTCAATTCACAATTTTGGTACATAAGCGTACTTTTCTCTTTTGAGAAACGAATCGCTATTCGTATTTCGACGGTACTTATGTTATCGCAGAGCTAAGAGAAAAATTTATGGTAGCTGTGACTATAATTACATGATATTATAATTACTGATATGTTAGTAATAATAATTATATGTACAGTTATATCAAAATAATTATCTTTATAATTATATTATTACCATCAAAATGATAGCAATTACAATAATTTAGTAGTCATTTTCAATATACCAACTAATTTTTTATAGAACTGTAATTATTATTACTAATATTATAGCAGCAGTAACCATAATTATAGTACAATGTTGTAGTCACGAATATCGAAAACTTTGTTTAGTGCAAATTGTTACACACAACACACAATCTGCGAGATTATTTTACAGTTTTTTTATGATTTATCGCGTATGTCAATTAATTGTCACGATGTCTGCTATGAGATTACGGTCCACTCAGCGCAGCAAAGTCAGTGGAATCGAATAGAAGAATAAATGAAGAAAAAACACGCCTAGATCTTCGACCCCATGCATCACGATTCCTATTACGCCAGCAGCTCACCGCGTTGTCTAATTGTGGCAATTTAATAATGTCTTAATGAACACTTATGAACACTGCTGCCACGTGATCGCGGGTTTACCCGCCGGCCCAGTTGTTTTCTTCAGTATTCAAATACCGACGGAAAATTGTCCCTACTTCTTTCGGAAATGTGATACGCAGTTTGATTACACGCGGACTCAATATGAACAAATGTAGCCTTTTTGAGAAGCTTTGCAATAGAACTGAAGTATAAAATCGTAAGCAGAATGTCAACAGTAATATTAGAAGTAAAAAATAAGCCACGCTTCATTTATATTTATGCCTCTATATAGGTATGTAAAATAATTTTTTAATTCGAGTTCGAGAAAAGTTCAAAAAAGTTTACATTATCAAAAATTATTTCGTATCACATGAATTACATCGGGAATTTAATCTTTATAAAGCTAGCCATACAAGTAACTTGTCAATCAAGCAGAATTGATAAAAATCATATTTTAAACATGTTTTAAACTTTTTTTTTATAATGTTTAAAGTATATATGAAGCATTAAAAAAAAATGTAAAAAAAACATAATGTTCTATTCTTGTAAAAGATAATGTTTTTTTTAACCTTCTGTCTGTGTATAAACTTTGGAAATTGTCCATTCGGTGACTTTTCATTTACGTTTTTATCAGCCTAGGGCATTAGGTTTTGCACTTCTACATGTGGACAAAAGGTTAAAAAAAAACATTATCGTTTGCCAACCCTGTTAAGCATACTTGTGCCAGTTTTTTGAAATGTGTGTGTTAATTTGCGATAACTGGGTAGTTTTGTCATATATCTATATACTTCAATAAACTTCTACATACATACTTGAGACGTTTACTTAAACGTATGTGGCCGGTCTAACGGGAATTTACGGGAATGATAAAAAAAAATTGGGTACGAGAAGTAATAGGTAACACGCAGAAGATGTGAATCATCTAATTGTGAGATAGATAGACACTTGAAAATGTTAATTTCACCCCTTCTTGAATTCATACACTGAGAAAAAAATTATTAATTTACTAAATGCGTTTAGTTCGTAGTATTTAGTTCAAGTATTTATATATTTAAGTTAAATACACGTGAATCAACAAAACCTTATAATTTTAAACATTATTTCTTTGAATTAACAGCAATTTGTTTCCTCAGTGTATTATTAAGAAAATTGTTCTGTCTGCTTATTCCTTTTTAATAACTTCAGCGATTAAGATAAATTACTTCCTTTTAACTTCCTTTATTTCTTTTATCTTTAGTAAAATAATTAATTTTTAAAGAATAAATTCTTTTTCTCTATCTCTCTCATTATTTTTTCTCGCATTCACTTGTGTATATTCTACAACTCTACTTACTTCAAACTTAATTTCTTTTTTATCTCACATTTATATATTCTTTCGCTTTGGCATTTCGGACCAATTTATAACTTGGTCTTACGCATCTTATTCTTTTTTTTAAATTTCTTTTAACTATGTATTTATTTTTATCAAAGCGCTTGATAGGACTTTCATCCCAAAGCACTCAATGCATGGTAATTTCTCTCTCTCTCTTTCTCTTTCTTCCTTTCTTTTTTTCTTAGTATGCACTGCAAAAAATTTCATTTATTTCCTTTAAAGTTTTTTTTTATTATAAAGGTACCAAATGATAATTTGAATACTTCACAGTAGAAATTGTACCACGAAATGTGATAAACTTTGTGTCTCAACATTTGGCCACTTTGTTCCACGATATCGTGCTTAATCGGAACTAATCACGCGTAATCCGCGCTGCACGATTTAATCCGTTCGCGCCAATCATACTCGTCATCGCCGGCAAATACTTCACGGAAAGCGAAATCGTCCATACGAGAAAATTACAAAGACACGTAACTTCATTCCACGAACGGGACTGCAGAAGACTTGCGATGCATCGCTGGACAAACACCCGGGACACTACGAAGCTAAAGGCCAAGGCAATGTGGGTGAAATCCGATGCTATGCGAGGAAGAAATTTGCTGGCGACGATTAAGGCGTGGGAATATTAAACAAATCGTCAAAGCTTGTTTTGTGTTACGATTGAAAAATAAGGAAACAGATATACATTTATATTCAGATAACTCTTATCTTTTTAGCATTTTTATAATGAATCCGTAACTAACAGCTATATCATCTATCCTATGAAACATGTTATTTCATTTAATTAAAGATATAAAACAATAATTGAACCAAACAAAATCGGCTATATTCTTTATAATTGGTCTGTTAAATTTTTTATCATGTGTTCCACATCTTTTCTGATAAAAACATGAATTTTTATCTCACTATAATAAATTAGTATTGTTGCTGACTTTATAAGTAGTCATCCATTGTATGTAAAAATGCTTTTTTCAGTGGATTATCAGTCTCAGACATACAAAAATGTTAAAATTAGCACAAGAATGCTAACTTTAACATTTTTGCATATCTCAGAAAATCCACTATACGTCTTTAAATTAAAATTAACATTTTATTTTTTATGCAATAACTATGATTTTGAAGAATAGATAATATGAGAGATCTGTATCAATGATTAATGAATTTAATTTGTTAGTACAAATTTATTTATTATAAATTTAATTTTATCATTTATTAGATAAAAATAAATTTAATTGTGGATGAAATAATTTCAATTTTACGAACGTCCCCTTCCCTTCTGTGATATAATTATATCTAACAACAGGATGGTTATATTTTGTTTTGCAGATGTTTTACGATAAGAAAAACACATACATTAAGTGATTACTCGACCCATAAAGTCGAAATAACACTATCTAAATTCACATTCTTTACGTCATATTACATTGCGTAACATATAGAGACATTATGCGATTAAATACGCAAAACACCGGAAAGCATAAAGTGCAAAGAAACCTTCAATCGCCTTTTTTTAATGGAGACATTTTATTTAAAAAATTAATAATTTTGTATATAATAATTAATTTTTAAAATAAACTATTTCAATTAAAAAATGACTTTGATATACAAAAATTCAAGTTCTGTTTTCCATTGAAAGACAAGCGATTTTACAACAAACAATAATAATTATTGTATTTGTCGTAAAATAATCACTTATCTTTTAATGGAAATAGTGACAAATAGGACTTGGATTTCTCTACATCAAAATCGCCCAAACAATTCACTAGATCTATTGCCCACTCGCAACCTGAGTGCCTCAAGTACCTTTATAGATGACGGAAACAATCGTCTCGGCATGCCGGCGAACGGCACGCGGTCTTTTTCGGTGAAAGAGAGAAAGTCGAGTTTACCTCTGTCACGAGGGTGCTGTCGTAGTCCCTGGTGTCGTAGTTCCATCCATATTGGCATTTGACGACCGGCCAGTCGGGGCTACTGACCGGTGGCGATGGCAATCGGGTTGACGGTAAGTCAAACGACGGAGATGTGGTCAGTGACGGGCTATCGGTGGTGTTGGACAGATTGGCGCCTTCGAGCCACAAATCTATTATCTCCGTGTAGTTCACGTCATACATGTGACACTTGGAATAAACCCTCCTGCCATCGGACTTGACCATGTAGGGTAATGAGAGCGCCTTCCTCTCCTCCAACGACATCAGATCCGTCATGTTCTCCAGTTCCGGTATCCTGCACCAGTGCTCTGGCGAGGCGCTCACGAACACCTATCTCGAAATCGCGAGTCTTAATTAAGATTAATTATTCGGACCTGCGCGTCATTTTTGCATCTGCCCTTTACCGCTTGTAGTATTGCTAATTTAACAATTCGATTTTTATTACTACAAGTTCGGCTTTTTAGTAAATTGTGTAAGAATCAACATGTTTGATACTTTTCATGTTTTGTAAATTATAATGTCGAATGGACATATTTTTTTAATTCATTTATTTGTTTTCGTATATTTTATTAAGTTAAAATTTAAATTGTCACAAAATTTCTCTATGCTCAAACAACAGCAGTAAACTCATCAGTAAATTTTATTTATCTGTGAGAATACTGTATACATAATTTAATTAATATTGCATATATATTAATGTTTACCAATATATTCTAATTTATCAACAAAAATATCCATATATTTACGTTATTTATTATAAATGTGCGATGTTTTTTAAAAGATAAAAATATCTTTAAAATTTGTATTTGATAAATTAAGAACAAAACTTATTTCGCGTCGTAAATTTTCTAAATTATACTTTCTAAAATTTTCAAAGTGAACCTCACTCTGAAGAGCGAAATTTTACTCTTAAAGATTGAAAATAGAGCCTCTTTTTCAAGAATTGCTCAACTTTCGTTCTTCAGGTGAGACTTTACTGTAAAGAATTTAGAGAGTACTCAAGGCACTGCAACCTTCATCTCGACAATAATCTCCAAAGCGGAGGGCACATCTCTGAAGCGACATCAGACAACGTGCTTACTTGTGAGAACGCCAAGAAGGCGGCTGGCAGGGTGGCGGGTATGCATAGCAAATAATACATGATGTTCTGGTATCGGCCCTTCTCTCCCACGTGTAGCAGCACCTCATCAAAGTCGATCGAGCTCATCTTTCCGGCGATACCGCGACTCTGCCGTATCTCAACAGTTTGACCACGACGGTGTGAACGATCACCACGGCGACGGCGGCGACGACGACGACGATCGTGCACGATGCGACGGTGGTGTGGTACACCTTCGAATTACACGGCATGACCGCCGTCGCTCATCCTCGAAGGCAGCCACGCCGAATTACAAACGCACGTTTCTCGCCCCCTTCGTCCGAGATCACGCACCGAGGAATCCTCCTCCTCCTTGGTACTGTCTACCCTCCCTCGTCTCCACCACCCCCCGCCTCCTCCTCCTCCACCTCCTCCTTTTTCTCCTCGTCCTCCTCGTCTGTCCCCTCGTCCTCCTGTCGTCCCACTGCCTTCCTCCGATGTACCCCCGAGCCTGTTGAATCGGGCTGTTTCAAGAGCGATGGGCTTTCCACGATTCAGATGCGTGCTACGCACGTCTTGCTATCAGGTACACTGAGCTCAAGGTCGCGCACGGTACCACCAAGATCACTACTACTACTGAACTTAACGAGTCGCGGTTGATCGGCTCCGAGATGTCGATCTGCATCTGGCTGCAATAACCACGTTGCACTTCATGTCTCATGTCGCACAAATTTTGTTAAGTTTGACTCAACACCGCAACGAAGCTCCCCTTTGAGAGCTCATCGGAAGCGTCAAGTCGATCGTGATCAGTTTGGTCCTCAATCGCGAGGACTCGATGAAAGGAAGGAAATTGGTAAGAAGGAGAGCGATAGCCGCTCAACTGTCAAGTGGTCTGATCCTAGTCGATCCTTTTCACTTGCGGCGAGCCCCCTCGCTCGCGCTCTTACCGTCGTTGTCTCGAGAGGATTGAGTTAGTTTCTTGCTTTTCAACAACCCTCCCGCGAAAATCGCTTTGCGACTGTTCACCACGTCTTCTCGCGGTAATAAGGGGATTATCTTGAACGATCACCCCGAGTAGTCTCAAGTGTCATCGAAAGCGCACCCGCGGTTTAAAGTCCTGTAATCGATCACGCAAATAACTTCTGGAGATCCGATTCACTTGATCGCGGCGCTCGTTGCGGCGCTCATTCACTCCTGACTGTTTACGGAAGTGTCCGATTGACTCGCCGTTTTTCTCCCTCTCACTCCTTCTTTCTCTCTCTTTGTTAACGTGCATGCACGTTTATTAACGAACGCGCGTACTCCTGCACTCGCCGCAGCTCGCCGCAATTGAACACTTCTCGACACCGCTCGCGGCTCACTCGCGACAACGCAGCGGCTCCTCGTTTCGCGGCTCGAGGGACCGTCCCTTCATTCTCGTTCACGCACCGCGTCCGCCCACCACGTCACGATCGCGATCACGAGCGCGTAGATCCCGCGTGGATCCAGCCGCTGCGGACAGCAGCAGCGTTAACGTCGTCGTCCTCGCGATAGAGCGGCTCATACGCCGCGGGCATCGCGGCCACGACGATCAGCCATTGCCGGAGAAGATCTCTCTTCTGACTCTACCGAACATCATCTTCGTCGGAGTCTCTCCACCTCCTCTCTCGGCTGATCGAGAGCCGCCGCCGTCGCCGCAGTCTCCGAACGCTCTCGTCCGCCTCGCCGCTTCTCCGTCCTTCTCTCTTTCTCTCTTCCTCTTTCTGCAAACGAAATTCCCTTCGTAGTATGCTATTGTCTATCGTAAGTACTCCGCTGCTAGTTAGCTTCCGTGTGCAACGCGCGAGATCACGAGCGATCTCATTGTCAGACATAGCACCGATGGATTTGACGTAAGGATCGCGTCTTCCCCAGAAAATATGTTATGTTTCACAAAATCGATTTTGCTTAAACCGATAAATGTCATAAACATCAAACGACAGTGAGATTACTTCTTGGAGACTAGAATTTCTTTTCTATTTTTCGTCTAGAAAATAATAAAATCTTTCATTGATAAGCTTGTATAAGTTTCGAAGATATTCACGATTCGGCTTTTCTCTGCTCGGCTAACGATACGATTTTTATTATTTAAAACTTTTGAAGTGAATTTTACTCCGAGGAAAAATCTCACTCTTAAGTATTGAAAACTGAGTCATTTTTTTTAAAGACTAGCTCAATTTCCACTCTTTAGAATGAGATTCCATTCCTAAGAATTTTGAGGGCATTAGGTTATCGTAAAAGCTTATCATTTTCTTTTACTTCGAACTTTGTTACTGAACGATACAATTATTTACTGTAGTAATATAGAGAAGTATATATAGGAGTTATCCTATCATATTTCTTCATCTCTATAAAAGCTTCATAATGCCATATGTTCCCTAAGTTTGATCGGCAAAATATGGTTGAGCTTATTTTTTTCACGTCGTTCAACACGCTAAATTTTGTATCACGAAGAGAATATTTTAGAAAAAAGAACAAGTAGTTATCAGAAGCGAAGTCTCCAAAGAATAAGAAGAATAGGGTAAAACAATCCCATCAAACGCCAGCAACTTGTTTCAAACGACCAAAGAGACACAATCGAGAAGTCTCTTCAACTTAGGTAAATTGTGTCGTTCACGAAGTAAAAAGAAACGAAAAGAACTTTTGGGACAACCTAATACAATGCTGGAATTTCGGAGAATTCATTATTCATGGTATCAATGCTTGTTAATTACGCCTTCTATTCTCTATTCTAATTGTTCTTTTTCTACTAATAAAATATTCTTACTTTTGTAAACTCTTACTTTTTTCAGCGTTTTAAATTCATGTAATCACTTCCTCAAAGTTTTAATCTTCATGATGTATGCACAGATGCAGGGTGTCTCGACATTCGCGAATCAAAATATCACAATAAAAAGGTTCTCGAAAATATTAAATTAAAAAGTATTTTTCGTTCCGAGCAGTACTTTTTGAGATACATACGCAAAACTGGCCAATTACAGATTGTAGTTAAACTACGACCTGTTCGTGAGTCGGCACACATAATGACTAACTATCGATGCACGACTGTCTGTGAGTTGCGCATCGATAGTTAATGATCGCACGTGGCGACCCACATCATCGGTGTAGGCAAAAAACGCCTTCCAACAAAGATAGGTGCGTATCTTCTATTATGTTTGTAACATGTTGTACTATTGTGTTATTTTCAGCATTGAGACATGCGAATGCAAATCTCGCTTGCTCGACGCGAGAATAATTGCGCGTTCTTATTTTCTCTTCAAATCTTTTTTCCCCAGAAAAGTGTTTTATGTCTTTTTCGCAAAGTATACTCCCCTTTGAAAAAAAATAAAAGACATTATTATTACTATTATCATTATTATTATTAAATAGAAATCGAAGTCCGAGTTGAAAATTGATTATTGAAATGAATTTAAAAAACTGCAATATGGAATGTCGAATGATATCTATAAAGATATATGTCGTTTCTGTATAATCATTAGGATAACTCCGGTATATACGCCGCACCTATCAAAAACTTAATTTATTAAGTATTATTTACTATGTTTATAATAAACGAACTATATCATCAAAAACTTTGTACTGTCTACTACTATGAAAAAAATATTAGAGAAATCCGAAATATTTATTTTTCATATTAAAAAATAAACTTTTTGAAACCCTTGCAGTTTTACCGTATATCCCATAGGGTTGGGATATATGGCTACTTATAGGGGGAGGGAGGATATGTATGGCTCATGAAAAATTT